CCCAAGGGTCGGTCCTGGGGCCGGTTTTGTTCAATATCTTCATAAATGATCTGGAGGATGGTGTGGATTGCACTCTCAGCAAATTTGCGGATGATACTAAACTGGGAGGAGTGGTAGATACGCTGGAGGGGAGGGATAGGATACAGAAGGACCTAGACAAATTGGAGGATTGGGCCAAAAGAAATCTGATGAGGTTCAATAAGGATAAGTGCAGGGTCCTGCACTTAGGACGGAAGAACCCAATGCACAGCTACAGACTAGGGACCGAATGGCTAGGCAGCAGTTCTGCGGAAAAGGACCTAGGGGTGACAGTGGACGAGAAGCTGGATATGAGTCAGCAGTGTGCCCTTGTTGCCAAGAAGGCCAATGGCATTTTGGCATGTATAAGTAGGGGCATAGCGAGCAGATCGAGGGACGTGATCGTTCCCCTCTATTCGACATTGGTGAGGCCTCATCTGGAGTACTGTGTCCAGTTTTGGGCCCCACACTTCAAGAAGGATGTGGATAAATTGGAGAGAGTCCAGCGAAGGGCAACAAAAATGATTAGGGGTGTGGAACACATGAGTTATGAGGAGAGGCTGAGGGACCTGGGATTGTTTAGCCTGCAGAAGAGAAGAATGAGGGGGGATTTGATAGCTGCTTTCAACTACCTGAAAGGGGGTTCCAAAGAGGATGGCTCTAGACTGTTCTCAATGGTAGCAGATGACAGAACGAGGAGTAATGGTCTCAAGCTGCAGTGGGGGAGGTTTAGATTGGATATTAGGAAAAACTTTTTCACTAAGAGGGTGGTGAAACACTGGAATGCGTTACCTAGGGAGGTGGTAGAATCTCCTTCCTTAGAGGTTTTTAAGGTCAGGCTTGATAAAGCCCTGGCTGGGATGATTTAACTGGGAATTGGTCCTGCTTCGAGCAGGGGGTTGGACTAGATGACCTTCTGGGGTCCCTTCCAACCCTTATATTCTATGATTCTATGATTCTATGCACCTCTTTCTCCTAGGACTTGGGTTTTCAAGGAAGCATTAGAACATTTCCTCCCCTTTGCCCTGCTTTGAGGAGTTCACACACTTCTATTTCCTGCTCCAGCTCACTCTGAGTGTTGGACCCAAATTCTCAATGCAAACCTTTCCTGAAGCTGCTGAATTTCTCCTGGTTTCACATCAAAACTAGGCAAAATCACATGCCTGTGGGAAAGTCCGATAGAATGGAAGAGGGCTGAAAGCAACAGGGTTCTACAGAAATTACTCTAACAGACCTCAAAGATTTCATAGAGAATGAAGGTGAGAGAGAATTCTCTGCTGGATTCTACAGGGTGGTTTGAAAAACCTCTGGAAAGATCACTGTTTTCTATCGGCCTGTCCCATAAGGGGATTTAATCTTGATGTTCGTGTGAAATCATAAACCAGTCCAGATTTGCTGGTACGTAGAAAACAGCTGGGAAGCAGTGTCTCCAGGGTGCACATTCCACCTCCAAGCACTGGAGGGGTTAAATTCTGGGGAATCCCTCTGAACTTAAAAGTAGGGCTTAGCTAGGCTGAAAGGCTCAAGGATCTTCAGCTGCATTTTTCAGCCAGGATAGCATCACACATGTTTTTGCCTTTCCTACCAAAATCTCACGTGCCTCTGTTGACTGTCTGTCTTGGTGTTTATATTGCCCCCATCCATCTCCGAGCACCTCACCATCCTGAATGGATTTTATCCTCTCAACAGCCCAGTGAGGTGGGGAAGGGTTATCCCCATTCTACCAATGGGGAGCCGAGTTAACCATTCAGGAAGACTGTAGCAGAGCTGGGAGTCAAATCAAGGTCAAGTCAATCATTTCAAGCACCGAGCTCATGCCCTATCCAATGGGCCATCTTCCCCACTCTCTTTGTTGGATAGCTTTGTATGTACGAGGTTGCACTCTTCCCCTGCTTTTCTCTCCATTAGCCTCTCGGAATCTGGTCCAGAGTCCCCGAGAGTCAGGGCAGCGTCCCGCTGACCCCAGCAAACTTTGGATCAGGCCCTCCTCCTTCGTGTCATTATGGCCACTATAATTATATGTGTGAGGTCTGCCTCCCTTCCTCCCCGTCTGCCTCCTGCCCTGTCTGCCTGCATGAAGGATCTCTTGTTATCTTGAGTATAATGAGGGCTCCAAGGCCTGCCGCTCTCTCCCCGCCCTCTGCCCCTGCCCGCGTGCGTGTAGGACCTCTTGCTATGGTCAGTGTAATTATGGGTGCTTGGTCTAGCTTTATCCTCTGAAGGTATAATTTAGCTTTATATAAAGTGCGGTTCCGCCCCGATGCTGCTGCACCTCCAGCCCGTTGTATAAACGGTTGCTATTCTGGGAACCAAGGGAGCATGGGGGAGGGTAAGAGGTGGGTAGGCCGACTGGGAGGCCAGTGGAAGAAAGTGAGGGGGGCTCGGCAGAAAGGGGCCAACTCCTCACGTTCGCTGGGTCTCCAGCGGCCTCGTCCGCACAAGAGGAATGACCCATGTCTAACATCACACGATCCCTCTAACACGTCCTGCATCCAGACACCAAAGCCATCTCAGGGTGCTGCAAGCCGTGCCTGGCTGCTGTAGGGTTCCCGCCCACCCCCAGAGTTAACCAGGACTGAAGCTGAACGGTGCCCGATCCATCGTGTTTCGGCCCATGCGGCTGGAAATCCATGTCATGTCACAATAGCAGAGCCGAATGAAGTCCGCATCGGGCTGTCCCACAGTGCCGCGCTAGCCATCAAGCTAACCCAACACTTCATTCGCAATGGGCCCCAGACAGGTGGTAAGGATGAGGCTGCACAGGGCTTGGATTTTGGGGGATCTGTCCGTCAACTCCATTGCATGCCAACCGACACCCCTGCCTGATCTTGTTCCCCCATCTGGAGAAAGGGACTTGGAGGCCTGCCTCACTGAGGCTAGCATCCTCATCCATACCTTCCACCAAGTGCCGAGGGCTGGATGTCTGGTTTGTCCATCTCCTGTGGGCCAGGCCTCTTTGACAGAGACCTGTCAGACAAAAGCCAAGGCAAGAGAATTTCAGGAGCCGGGCAATCCAGAGGATTCTGCCTGAAGCTGGGATGTGTGACAACCGGCTGCTCAGTCTGTGTGGGTGTGAAGGAGCTGTACCTTTCCAGCAGGCTTCGGGAGCAGATGGCGTGTGCCTGATGGCCACCTCCTCTTTCTCACTGGTCTTGCTGTGCCGCTGTTCTGTTGCGGTAACAGCTCTCCCCCGTTTCTCGTGCAGCGGCGTCTCCTGGGTGCCAGCTGGGACTGCGGCAGCATGGGCTGCCTATCGCTCAGTGCCCTCTTCCTGCCATCTGGGGATCGCCCTGGGCAGATCCTCCTCAGAGCAGTGCCCTGGCAGTGCCCCCTATGGTTCCTGGGCCTTTCTTTCTGGAAGTGCCCAAAGCCCATGCCGGCGAAGGCTCCCACAGCATGGGGCTTTTTATTCACCCTGTGATAGGATGCTGCTGTGAGAAAGCAGTGCTGTCTGCAGGAGTCCCAGGGAGCTTCCACACGGCAGTGCCCTATCCCTGCTGGATAGAACCCCTGGCAGTGTGAGCTTCCCCACAGCAGTGCCCTGAGGGTTGCTAACTAGGGCTCTGGTAGCGTGGGCTTTCTCCCAGCAGTACCCAGGCGAGACTCCAGGAGGGTCTGAGTAAAAATGTCAAATTTTTTTTCCACAAATTATCATGGGGAAAATACGGATGTTTCCAATTTCATACCAGGCCGCTATGGGTATGTCTACCCTGTCTGCAGCAGGGAGCCTCCCAGCCCAGCTCAACAGATTCGGGCTCATGCTACCACACTAACAATAGCTGTGTTGGTGTCGCCTTTGGGGCCGGAGCTCGGGCTCTGGAGCCTGGGGCAGGAAATGGGCTTCAGGGCCGGAGCCATAACTTCCAAGTGCTGTCTGGTGGGTACTTTGAGAGCACCCGTGTGAGCTCTGCAAGGCCAAGGCTGGGAGCTCACTGCTGCGGGCTGCGTATGGGACAGAGCGGTTTTGCTTTTCACAGGGTAGCCAGTCGGACCTCAGACCTCATGACCGTTTCAAATTGCTGCATGTCTCCCAGGAGCAAACTTTCACATAGACACGACATCTTAACATTAGAAAATAAGCCGGGGGGTGGATTTAAACAAAACCAAACGACACACCAGCCTGTTTCTGAGTAAAACACCGGAGACATTTTATATGATTTTTAAATTTGAATTGTGAAAACCTAGTGGGATTTTCAAAATGATGTTTATTGAAGTCTTTTAAATCATGATTTGAGGACTTCAGTATCTCAGTCAGAGGTTATGGGTCTATTCCGGGAGTAGTTGGGTGAGGTTCTGTGGCCTGTGATGTGCAGCAGGTCAGACTAGATGATCATGATGGTCTCTACTGCCCTTAAAGTCTAAGTGTCTTGTTTAATTGTTTGTACAGCGGTAGCGCCTAAGGGCCCCAGCCACAGACCAGGAGCCCATTGTGCTAGGTGCTGTACAAACACAGACCACGATAGTCCCTGCCCCTAGAGACTCAGCACTGGCCTGACTCTGTCCCAGCAAAGTCAAGGGGACTTTTACCATTAACTGCTTGAGGAGCAGAGTCGGACCATGCTGAGAGCTTCTGAAAATGCCACCCAAAACGGCCAGATCCGAACTGGTGTAAATTGATGTAGCTCCCTTGGCTTCAATGGAGCTGTGCCTGTTTACGCTAGCTGAGAATCTGGCCCTAGGCTTCTTAACGTTCTTGTGAATAGTGTGCCCAGACTAGAATCTGGGACGCCTGCTGCCTTCACACTGTTTAAGGGTTGTGAAGGTGGAACGGATGATGGAAGAGGTGCTCATTGTTTCCTGGGACTCCCCACTCAGTCTGTCTGACTCCCTCTGTTGTCTCTGGTCTTATATTGCAATTGTGAGCTCCTTGCGGGCAGGGACTGTCTAGGTTCTGTCTTTGTACCGCACCTAGCAAGGTGGGATCCTGGTCCGTGGTATGCCAGCACATATAATAATAATTAGAACCCTACTGTCTTCCTCAGATCAGGAGGAGATCTCGAGCGCTTCCTCCGCGCAGAATCCAGCGGTAGCACCGTCTGCCCTGTGCCACATCCAAGCTCCTCACCCTCAGGCCCCAGCAACGGAGGAGAAGGAGAAACTGCCAGAAGATGACAAGTCGCCGAACCTCCTGGCAAATGGAACACCACCTCCCAAAGGCGAGACCAAATTAGAGTCCATGGTCACTCCCGAAGCCGTGACACGTAAGTCTCTGCTTCTTTCCCATGGGTTCTGCTGGGGCGGGATCGGTGTCGTGGGCTCGGGTCCTTGAAATCACAATGGTCCCTCTCCCCTCACTCATGGGTTCAAAGAAACCCATAAACGATTTGGGGCGGGGACTGTCTTTTCATTTTCGGTATGTACAGCGCCTAGCACGATAGGCCTCGTCCCAGGTTGGGGCTTGTAGGAAATACCGTAATACAGACAAAAATAATGTCAGAGGCTCCTAGCAAGAGTGGGCACTATCCCTGTTCTTCCGTTATACTCCCACTCCCTGATAAAAGGAGGGAGCTGTATTTTTATCCCATACACTAGTATGTGGCACTAGTCCGGGTGGTGAAAGTAGGAGTAGCATCCAGTGAGGGGGTAATTGCTGCTGCTGTTGTCGGTAGTGTTAACCTTACCTGCCAAAGTTATACACAGGGACATGTGGGAAGAAGAATGCGGGACATGCCTTCTAACTCCTGTGAAATGCACCAGACAGGGAGAGCTCCCTGGAGGGACAGAAGGAGGAAATGAGAGCGGTTTCGCTAACATTACAGACTGTCCCTCCTACACCGGCATGTAGGCGAGTTAAGCAACTAGGGGTTGAAGACATGGCAGGACCAACCTGCAGGGATTGAGGGTTTAAGGCTACAGGGCATCTCTCTGACTGCCCCAAACACAGCTAAGGTCACAGTAGGGATGAAGATCTGCAGTTCCCACAGGAGAGATGGGTCATGTCCTTTGAGAGAGATCTGATACCAGCAGCTCTGCAGAGGGACAACACAAGGATCCTCTGCCTGGCACAAAGTGGGGGGTACAGCTCAGCTGGGGTAGCAATGATGAAAGCTGTGGCATAGGCAGGTCGAGAGCGTTTCTAGCACCGTGTGGTCTAAAGCTGGCTCTGTGAAGGGTCAGATGACACAGTGGGAAGATCGCCAGAGTTCTGTCTGTCTGTGGCCCTGCTATCGAACTACAATCGGAGGGTCACTGCAGCTCAGGCAGGCCTACCCACGCTAGCTTTAATCGAGCGAGCGTAGCTATGAATAGCCGTGATGGCCTGGCCACCAGACTGCATCCCTGGCCCTGAGCCTGGATTTAAGGATCTTGCCCTCAGTCTGGCCCTTATGCACACAAGAGTAAATCCCTTTTTGTTGGATAGTTCAGGAGAGTCTGTACTTTTCCAGGGGCAAGAAATGGATTGAGGCTTCCCATTGGAAAGAGGGACGGTGGGGGCTGAGGCTCTCCGTGCGGTTGACAAATTACCTGTAGTGCTGACTAGCGGGTCGGCCGGAGGGCAGCCAGGGAAAGGATAGCGAAGTAGGGTTGATGCTGATGGATGGACAGGATGCAAGTATGTGGAGTGAAGAGATCGCATGCTTCCTGTACGGGAGCTCGGAACTCTTTCGGGCATCTGAGTCACTCGGCAGTCAGGCTGTGCCCTGCACGGGGAGCAGGCTCTCCGCCCTCCTCTCTTTGCCGTGGATTGACCCACCTGTGCGGCCTCCGCATCAGCCCCTTGGTGGCTTACCTGGAAAGACAGCAAGCTCCTTTTGGAGTGGATGAACAACAACAGGGCAGTAGACAGGTACGCAGGCTGGGGGTGGGAGGGGGGAATCCAGCCTCATGCTTCAGGGCATCATCAGATTGCAGCAGGAGTCAGGAAGAATTTTCCCCGCTAAATACAACATTGGTGAACTGCACTGAGATGAAGTTAAATCTTTCCTCTGACTCTCCAGCCATGCAGCTGGAAGGATGATATTGGACTGGACGGAACAATGATCTTAGGTACTTATCTGGCCCCCGTACCACAATATCTGAGCCCCTCATAATCTTTAACATATTGATCCTCCCAGCACCCATGAGAGTACGGGACTGCTAGTATCCCCATCGCACAGGTGGGGAATTGAGGCTCAGAGGCAATTCCTAAGTGAGTTAGGTGCCTAGCCCACTGAGGTGGCTTTGGAAATCCCATATTAACTGATTTACCCAGGGTCACACAGAGAATCAGTGGCAGAGCAGGGAATTGACCCCTAGATTAGCACCCCGACCCCTGGCCCATTCTTCTTTTCTGATTTAATGGCTGGGTGCGGGGGGGACAAGCAACCATGGAACTGGATTTGTTTGTGTAACTTCTCACCTAGCACCAGGAAACTTGAGCTCTGAGAGTGAGGCTCTCTCTCTGCCTTAAACCTCAATGAAGGGTCATTCAATGTGCCAGCAATGCCCCTCTGCCATTTACATTGGTCAAACTGGACAGTCTCTACGTAAAAGAATAAATGGACACAAATCAGATGTCAAGAATTATAACATTCATAAACCAGTCGGAGAACACTTCAATCTCTCTGGTCACGCAATCACAGACATGAAGGTCGCTATCTTAAAACAAAAAAACTTCAAATCCAGACTCCAGCGAGAAACTGCTGAATTGGAATTCATTTGCAAATTGGATACTATTAATTTAGGCTTAAATAGAGACTGGGAGTGGCTTAGTCATTATGCAAGGTAGCCTGTTTCCTCTTGTTTTTTCCTACCCCTCCCCCCCCAGATGTTCTGGTTTAACTTGGATTTAAACTTGGAGAGTGGTCAGTTTGGATGAGCTATTACCAGCAGGAGAGTGAGTTTGTGTGTGTGGTTTTTGGGAGGGGGGTGAGGGGGTGAGAGAACCTGGATTTGTGCAGGAAATGGCCCAACTTGATTATCATGCACATTGTGTAAAGAGTTGTCACTTTGGATGGGCTATCACCAGCAGGAGAGTGAATTTGTGTTGGGGGGGTGGAGGGTGAGAAAACCTGGATTTGTGCTGGAAATGGCCCAACCTGATGATCACTTTAGATAAGCTATTACCAGCAGGACAGTGGGGTGGGAGGAGGTATTGTTTCATATTCTCTGTGTGTATATAAAGTCTGCTGCAGTTTCCACGGTATGCATCCGATGAAGTGAGCTGTAGCTCACGAAAGCTCATGCTCAAATAAATTGGTTAGTCTCTAAGGTGCCACAAGTACTCCTTTTCTTCTTTCAACTCTGGAAGAGGCTGTTGTGTCCCCATCGTTGGAGGTTTTTAAGAATTGGACAAACACCTGTCAGCAGGGACGGTCTGGGTTCACTTGGTCTTGCCTCGGTGCAGGGGGCTGGGCTGGATGCCTTCTCGAGGTCCCGTCCAGCCCTGCATTTCTTTGATGAATTTCTCTCCCAGCTGCTCTTTCCAACAGCCGCACCAACTCTGTCACTCTCCAGTTATGCTGTTTTATGGGGTAGTTACGCCGGCGTGTGTGACAACCAGACAGGGGGGACCTTTAAACAGACACTTCATGTTTACCATGTGGGGATTAAACACAGTGAAACCTGTTCTACCAGAAGCTGCCATTAAAAAGTCATCATTTTCCAGCAGTTACCCCACGCTGCTATCTGAGGCACCCATGAAATTCACTGTGCTTTGAATGGGAAAAGTGGTATCTCAGTAAGGTGGTGAATGTTTTAATGATGACCTCCGCTAATGGCCAATCAAAAATCCCTTGTCCGGAAGGTGTGGGTCTCTCCCTAATGATGAAACAACAATGAGCTGCAAATATCTTCAGGCTTTCAAGACCTGGGTCAAATTTCAAAGAGCTCAGGTCTAATTTCCAAGTGCTCAGGACCCAGAATTGGGGCCAGATTTTTCCAAACAGTTCAGTTCCCTTTTAGGTACCTAAGTAAATAGCCAGAGTTTTCAGAATTGCTCAGCACCCAATGTGCTGAGTTATTGGGAAAGTCTGGCCATAAACATCGCAATGGAAGCGGCTGTGAAAATCTGTGAAAGTTCCTGTGAAAATCTGATCTGTGGTGCAGGGCAAACAGATCTCGGGTGCATCTTGATGCATCTCCCTGTGGATAATACCAGAGGGAGGTGAAATGGTGCGTTGTGAAGTATAGGAATGGTTATAGCATTGGGATCCTGTAATTTATTATCTGAGAGTCAGCACTTATGGGGGAAGGCAGGGGGCTTTGGGAAGGGGGCTTTGGAATTGTTCCATGGTCCTGGTATTATCTCAGTATTGTGAGGGACTCCGAAAAATGACCTTCAGCAAAGTTGGTCGTTGTTCCTAAAACCTGGTCTTAGCAGGAAGAGACACTGCTGTGGTCAAATCCTCAATCCACTCAAAGTTCCTGGTGATGTGACTAGAGCCGAATCTACATAGTGCTAGGAGCTACTAAAGGACTATAGGAATTAAAATCAACGTCCTGGCCTCTTTAGGCCATTAAATATCCAATGACAATGTCCCCAAAATAGGGGCACTGGTCCTGGTTTCCTGGACCATTTCTAACTAGTTAATTGCATTCTAACTCTCTAAATTCTCCTTGAACTTGAAATTGGATACGAGACCCTCCTGGACTCACTTGTCATGCAGTGTTTCACTGTGCTGTTAAACAACTGTTGCATTCCACCCCAGAGGCGGCTGCATGTCGGAGGTAGAATGAAGTCATTCCTCCATCTCCCTTTGAGTGTTTTGGGTTCCTTTGAGTAGAAAACCGCCCTATAATTGTAAGATATTATTACTAACTCTGATGGGAAATTCTGGCCTGGCTTCTCTGCTGCTCCGTGCTTGTTTGAATCAGGGAGTGATTTTGATTTACAAACAATTTAATCTGAGGAATGCAAAGAAACAGAGCAAGCCAAACCATGTACACCAGGCACTTTTGTAAACCCTGCCATTTTCAAAACCATTGAACGATTGAAGCTGTAGAATATTTGTGGGGAGTGGGCATGTCTGAAATTCCTGACCTGTGCTTCTGGCTTTCTCTCTGTGGACTGTGTCAGACTCATGGGCCCCATGGGCCTTTCTTGCATCAGATTGAGCAGGGCTTTTGAAGCCTAGCTTACTAAAATCATACTGGAACACGCACTGCTAGACTCTGTCTACATCAAATGAAGGCGGGGACCTGGTTCCAACTGGGCAATAGAGACTGTTTTCCCCATAACTGGGTGAAAAAGATTAGTGTATTAGAGGAGGGAGAGTAATCT